GCGTGTGTGTGTGTGTGTGTGCACGTGTGTGTGTGTGAGTGTGTGTGTAAACAGGGCGGGGTTTGAGCAGGACATTGACGGTGACCAGTCACATTCATTTGACACATGCACAGGTGAGTGAGTCACTGTCACATTACTTCTGAGCTAGATGCAGTCATAATACCTTATTTTAATCTCAGATATATATTGATCTTGGAAGTATAAGAGAGAATTTTGGCACTGATGTTTGATTAAAGTCTGTCATTTAACATAAGAGGAAGTGATGAGCTTGATTCCATGCTGCTTTTATCAGTGACTTGATGTAACAGACCTGTTAAAAACTAATGTGATACTAATGAACTAATGCTGATCTCTTCTATATTTGTGTATGTTCAGATGTGATGTCAGCAGCAGGTAGTGATGTGAACTCAGCTGTGGATTCAGCCTCTGGTCAGTGTCACACACATTATGATCTGATCGAGTTTTTTGGACAAATATTTTAAAAATCTAAAAAAATGTGCATTCTATTTTTTGGAGCATCTCAGTTGCTCCATCAGGCTTTTATGGCTCATATAGTCTGATATAGTGAGAATATGGAGGAAAAACAGCTCAAAATATGAATTTGGTGCAGATGCTGATATTTATATGATGAGATTCTGATGCTTATAATGTAAATCAATGAGATGTTTATAACAGTAGAGCAGATACTGACATAAAATGATCTAAATATCACTCTATATCTCCAGTAATCTGTCTCAGTAAGATGAGATTGAAATGCTCCAAACATATAATGCAGTGATTGAGAGCTGAAGAAATAAAGGCTCCTCAGAAGATGTGAGATGTTCTGGAGGCTTGTGAAGATCATTCCTCCGCTGAGGAACAGTGAAAGTAAAGCTTCTGGAAACAAACGCTCCTCAAAAGATCCTGAGGATCAGATTTGAGACTCTAAAACATGATTGATGGAGAATCAAGTAAAGCTGAGCTGCTTCAGTCCAGTAAGTGTTCATCTGGAGATATTACTGCAGTTATTCTGACCTTTACTTGATCAAAACCAGTCAAGATTTGACACGAGAAGAGTTTCTATCATTACTCTAAAAGAGCTTTCACTCAGACAGAAGACATGAGGAGATTGAGTGTGAAACAGCAAAGTTTGATCATGTAGATCACAAACAACAGAACAAAGATGCAGAGTAAACCTTAATTTTGGTGACAAATATTTTTACATTCAGATTGCTAAAATCAATGCAAAATAAAAAAAAGTGCAACCCAGCGTAACAATTTATCCAAAGGAACCTAAAATTTTTATTCATTAGACGACTACATTAGTATTAGGAACAAAAGAATTGTAATTGACGGCTAAATATGAGATGAACGAGAGTAAAGAATAAGATCAGTCTGTCTCTGTAGGTGTGAAGCAGCTCCCTGACGCGCCGGGTCACTACACTCTTCTGGGCTCGTGTGTGTTGGTGGCGTTCGTGTTGGGCGCCGTCGTGTCAGGTTTGCTGGTGTCCTGTTACTGCGGTCAGAGATCCCACCAATCACAGGAGCCCGAGGCGTCGCTCTCGCTCAACAGCCTCACAGACACCAAACCAGAAAAGAACAACCTCCCATCCTCTCAGACCTACAGCTCCGTTAAACCACACGCGACTGAGGAGGAGGAGCTCGTCTCGAACCTGCCCACTCCTGATTCGACCCCGGAGCTGCCAATCAAGAACTTAAAGGCTCTAAACAGCCAATGGGAGAGAAGCCACACCCACAGCTTCACCCTGCAGGTGTTTCCCACCAATCAGACGCGTCCCAGCAAACACACGCCCTCAGAGAGCCACGATGAGGATGCGTTTACACACATGCAGAATCTTGATCTTGTGAGTTCATCCTTGCACATGCCAACATCGTATTACAGCTGCCTAAAAGACATGCCTGAAACCTCAGCGTTTCCGCTACAAACGCTTTCTGAGCGGCCAGACTGCAGCATAAGCTCCTCACAGCACCACATGCTTATAAAGATGCTCACAAACACCCGCCAGCACAGCTTCAACCAGAAATCAGCGCAACCGGGAAACATCTACGAGATACACAGGCCTTTAATCGCAGACGGCTCGTGTCTGACGCGACAGCACAGCTACAGCGAGCCTCCGCTGCTCCAGCGGGCAGCTATCATCAGACGCACAGAGTCGCTCAAACCACAGATCCCACCCAAACCCACAAACATACCCCCCAAAACACTACACCTGCCCTCGCACGCCAAACACAGCTACTGAGACACCACCAGCACACCAAAGGTCAGAGGTCAAAGACACGGCAGGTTTGGAATTTAATACTAGCATACTGATCACTGCACAGTGTATACTGTATATAGCACTTTATACTATTATGTTGCATGTTTAATTCAGCATTTGAGGTCCAGTTGACTTTCAAATAAAAAGGTTATTTTGCATTTCTAATGCGATTTTGTTTCCCTTGACAAAAATCTAAAAAAAAAAAAAAAAACTAATTTTTTCCATTGGCTTCTGTACTATTTCAGAAAATAAGCTCTTGTGACCAACAAAATCCTTAGCATACTGATTACATTGGGTATATGGGAAACATGTTTAATTCAGCATTCGACGTCTAAGTATCGTTCAAAAAACAAACAAATGCTATTTTACAATTTTAAAACTATTTCTGTTCCCTCGACCAAAAAGCTCAACAAATAGGATTTTCCATTGCCTTTTAGATTAGACTTCTGGGAAATTCAAGACAAGTTTTGTCTTTAAAACAATCTTAAGAAAAAAAGATGAGAATTTTTTTAAAATGTTTTGGGAATACTAAAAAAAAAAAAAAAAAGGTTATTTTGTATATTTATTAGTGCTGTCAAACGATTAATCGCATCCAAAATAAAAGTTTTTGTTTGTATAATATATGTGTGTGAACGGTGCATATTTATTATGTATATGTACATACACACACATGCATGTATATATTTAAGAAAAATTTTACGTTTATATATTAAATATATGATATAAATTATATTAATATAAATATATACATGTAAATATTTTCAAAATATATGCTTTGTGTGTGTATTTATATATACATAATAAATATACACAATACACACACATATACTGTGTAAACAAAAACTTTTATTTTGGATGCGATTAATCGTTTGACAGCACTATTATTTATTTTTGCATATTCGTTAATCGAAATTGAATTTTCTATTGGCTTTTTGGATAAACATCTCGGGGATTTCAGAAAAGTTTGAGAATATCCTAACTTTTAAGTTATTTACAAAGGTTTTTTAAAGAACTATTTTCAGTTCAAATTCTTAAGTTTTGTCTTTCAAAAAATCTGAAGGAAAAAAGATTAAGAACATACAAAATTCTTCAATTCTTCTAACGTTTTGTGTTTTTAACGCAATTCTGGTTATCTCATCAAAATCTTGACAAATAGGATTTTTCTTAAAATGAGCTCTATGACCAGCACACCTGAGCATACTAATTACTGCACAGTATATACTGTATATAGCAAACATGAGCTCAATACGTTGCATGTTTAATTATTCAGCATGTGGCATCCAATTAACTTCAAAATAAAACGGATATTTTGCATTAACGCAATTTTGGTTCCATCGAAGAAGTCTTGACAAATAGGAGTTTTCCAAAAGTTGGAGGTTATCCTAATTTTAAGGACTTGTGATGATTTTTAAATAACTTTTTTTTAAGGAATACCAACTAATTTCTTGAAAGTCAGATCAAATGCATAGCATTGTGGGATACAGTATTCCATATTGGTAGATCATTCACATACTGTGTCCAGTAAACATACTGCAGGAGAAGAATGAATAGTATGCTAGTATCTCTTCTGAACATGAGTCAGAAAACTAATGCAGTTGAGTGCGTTTGTGTAGCAGTGACTCAATGCAGTGTGTGTGTGTGAGTGTATTTGTGTGCGAGTGTGTGTGTGTGCGCGTGTGTGTGTGTGTGTGAATGTGTGTGTGTGTGAGTGATTGTGTGTGTACGAGTGAGTGTGTGTGTGTGTGTGTGAGTGTGCGAGTGTGTTTTCATTGAGGAGGAAGCGACACGAGCCGGACTGAACTCTTATCATCGGATCACGTTCACCAGTGAATCAGTAAAACCTCCACAGCATCACATCAGACTGACATTATTAACACAGAGGTTGAGCTGCTCATGTGTTTAACTGCATTAATGAGATATAATGTGTTTTCATTGATTTGTGCCTTACATGAGAGAGACCTGAGGTCAGAGGTGATGATGTTCCCATTCATCTCAATGCAGGACCTTCTGGAGAGCATTGCTTCATGAACAATTTACGAGTTGTAAATGTCATGTGACCGATCAATCTGTGTTAGAAATCTCTGCAGGAAACAGAAAAATGTCTCTTTAATGCTTTCGAGAGCCTCTGAAACTATTGGTGACTGGTGAAGTATTTAATTATATATTCACAATTTGCATTTTGCTTGCAAAGAACACATTTCATCAGAAAATATTTTCTGAAGTAATTATTTTGGGGCCTGCAGCAAATATGAGCGACAGGATGTGATGTCATGTTTATTTTAATGCGCTATACGTAATGATGAGTAATAAATGCTGTGCTGTCACACAGCGGGAATTGCTGAAGGTTTTATTCTTTATGCAAAACAACCTAAATGAGACTCCTTGTTTGATTTTTAGATAATTAACCATAATTTACTATGGAAGTCTGTTTAAAGTAAAAGGGAAAAAAAGGCAATTTTGACTTTTTATATATTATATATTTTATAATTCAGATTTTTTCTTTTTAATTTTGAGTTGACATCTCGCAACTGTTTTTATAGGAATAAAAAATAAAAAAGGTAATCGAGACATTTTATCTCACAATTCTGAGTTTTTTTTTGTTTGTATCTCACAATTCTGAGTTTATATCTCAGAATTTTTTGTTTGTATCTCACAATTATGAGTTTATATCTTATATTTTTTGTTTATAGTTTGGAGCATTTTTTGTTCGTTAAATGTAAGTTGTTGTTTGTTTGTTTTTTAAGTAAAGGCCAGCGGCAGACAGTGAATTGATCATAGCCTATGTTTGATCAATTTAGCCTTCTCAAATCATCAGGACTTGCCTAAAATAAAATCTATATATAAGTTAGTTCAAGTATATCACAATGTTAGTTTAAATGTTTAACCTATATAAATGTGCGCTGTTAGACGCATATCCAATCGTTTGCGGAGAGTGGAAGCTGAAGCTCTGCAGCACATGGAGGCGCCAGCGCCATCACTTGCTTTTTTTTCTAACAGTGGAAACAACTTAATACTCATTTTTGCTCATAAAGGTAAGAGTAATACATCATTCTTTTACTTTTACTTTTAGTCATTTAGCAGACGCTTTTATCCAAAGCGACTTACAAATAAGAAAAAGTAATTAAAACTAAAATTAATTCTAAACTGTAAAGGGTCTAGTTTTATTTGTGTGCACTCACAATATCAACAAAACGCTTTCTGCCGTCTCGGTCTGAAATAGCAGAAAGTTTCCTGTGAGGGGTAGGTTTAGGTGTAGGGTTGGTGTAGGGCAATAGAATATACGGTCTGTACAGTAGAAAAAACATTACGCCTATGGGATGTCCCCCCTTTTCACAAAAACAAACCTGTGTGTGTGTGTGTGTGTGTGAGTGTGAGTGTGTGTGTGTGTGTATGTGAGTGTGACACACACACACACACTCACACATCTGTGCATTAGCTGACAGTGACAATACATTCATATGTCAACAACAATAAACTTGATGTATAATCATCTAGAACCGTTTACAAAGTGATTTATAAAGGGAGGTGTTATATGGTTCATATATGGTTCATTGGAGGCGTTTCTGAATGTAAATGAACATGAACGAGCATGTGGGATTTATCAACAATGATTACTCACTGGTGTGCGTAAGAACCGCGTGCGCATATAGACATCATTGAAATTGCAATTCTGACTTTTTTTCTGAGATAACTCACAATTCTGGGTTTACATCTTACAATTCTGACTTAAAGGCACAATATGTAGTTTGAGCGCTTCCGCTGCTTCCGGTCGTGTGTATGTGGGGTAAAGCAGCGCTGTTTTATCATACGAGATACATTTAGTTCTGTTATAATGCTACTCTGTGCGGTCGTCACCGGTCTATTAAAACGCACAACATATTAAAGCGTCTTTGCTGTTTCCATGTTTTCTACAAAACAAAACCGGAAATCGAGGGGTTAAGACGTCATTAGCAGGCGACACTATGACACTGTAGACACGCTCCGTGTCACTAGCTAAAATTGCTAATTTCTCTGGATTTAAACGTTCTTCGAAACATTTGGGATAATGTAAGTACACAAGTCAGCAAAATATATAACACTGTTCTAGTGGTTTTTGGATATTTTAATAAAAAAATCTTACATATTGTGCCTTTAATTCTAAAATTTTCTCTCAATTCTGACTTTTTTTTTCTCTGATTTCTGAGTTTGTATCTAGATAATCTAACTTCTTTCTCTAAATTCAGATTTTTTTTTCTCTACAAATTCTGACTTTGTTTCACAATGAAGTCTCGTAATTAAGGCGTAAGTCTCGCAATTCTGTTTTATTTTGTTTCCGGCCTGGAATTTAAAAAAAGTAGTTTATATCTCTCTCTTTTTTTTCAAATTAGATTTTTTTTTTCATAGCCTATTTGAATATTTTTGCATAAATGTCTTGAATGGAGTTGTGCACTATATGCTTATTAAAACTATATGTGTGTTTGTTGATACACCCAGAGCTGATTACATCTACAGGATTATGTAATCAGATTCCAAAAATTAAGTATTTGTAATTAGATTAAATTACATTTTAAAATACTCGTAATCAGACTACAGTTACATTTTGATTGATTACTTAATTACATATATTCACACAATAGCAATAAATTATTCATAATTTATTGATTCTCCCTAATTCTTTTTCATATTTTACATTTTTCTTTCTAAAATGGCTACATGACATGCATGTAAACAAAATTTTTTTTTTTTTACTTTGTTATTTTAAAGTGATTTATTTTCATTTTACATTTTTATGACTTAATTAATCATTAGCTTTTCATTAAACTCACAAACCCCAGTTTGGGAAACCCTGAAATCTAATGCTTAATTTACTTTACGTTGTTAATAACAACGCATGGAATATATTACTTTGCATTTTAATATCAATATGGTACAATATTATTCTATTTATATTAGTGCTGTCAAACGATTAATCGCGATTAATTGCATCCTAAATAAAAGCTTTTGTTTACATAGTATATGTGTGTGTACTGTGTATATTTATTATGTATATATAAATACACACACACATGCATGTATTTAAGAAAAATATGTTTATATATTAAATATATTTTTATACAAAATAAAAATAAGAATATAAATATATAAATGTGTATACATGTAAATATTTTCAAAATATATACATGCATGTGTGTGTATTTATATATACATAATAAATACACACAGTACACACACATATAGTATGTAAACAAAAGCTTTTATTTTGGATGCGATTAATCGTTTGACAGCACTTATAAACAAGTTAGGTTAAAAGTAATCTAAAAGTATTACTAACTACAGTTTTTGTCATGTAATTCGAAATCAGTAACAGACTACAATTTGTAAGCAATCTAGCTCTGGATATACCATTTCTGAAAATGTGTTTGATGTTTTGTTTGATGAATTTTGTGATTGGTGGATGATATATTATCCAATATTTTCATTGGTTGTTTTTTACTGTAAATTTTACGGAATTTTTTTTACAGTGTAGTTCAGACTTTGGTTAATTTACTGTGCAAAAGCCAGAAATATCCAAGTGGGGCTGAACGAACAAGCGGATTCATCTGTGTCTGATGATCTCATATTGAGTATTTTAATGCAATGTGCCGCTCGTCGTTCGTAGGTTCGCAGGCTGAGGATGCCAGATGTCTGAAACACTTGAGATGCATGGTCGAGGAGCGCAGGGTCCTCCATTCAATCATGAGCCCCTGTCTGTCTCATGCATATTTCATACAGGTCCAGATCCCTTTCATTACTGAAATGAGCCTCAGTGTGATGATAGCATGCAGCTCTTTCGCCGAGACTGTCATGTTTACACAGTTTATTCACACAGGTTCGGCTCGTGCTAGTAAGAAAGGCGAACGGAAGAAATCACAAACGAGATCAAATTTAAGCAAAATGCTTATTTCTATACTCAGGAATTTTAAGAGAAACACCCGAGAGTTTTTGTTTCAAGAAAACATAACTTGCACGTATACTTACAGGTCGTGTTATCTAGTTATGAATTCAGGGTTGATCTGGTGAAATCATTCAGAAGCTCTAATCAGATAAATGTTTCCTCTCATGCAGCAACACCCATCCATAATCAATAACATATGGATTCATGTGGGTTCACGAAACTACATTACATTTACATTTACATTTACATTTAGTCATTTAGCAGACGCTTTTATCCAAAGCGACTTACAAATGAGGACAATAAAAGCAGTCAAAACTAACAAAAGAGCAACAATATATAAGTGCAAATGACAAGTCTCGGTTAGCCTAACGCAGTACACGTAGCAAGGTGTATATATATACATACATACAAACTAGAGACACACATTCACTTTAAAAAAAACAAAAAAAGATTTTTTGAAGCTGTGAATAAAAGAAAGATTATTGGAGTATGTTTAAGAAGATTCTATTTCTTTCTTTCAGAATTTTATGTTTAATTCAACGCGTTATTGCCATTTCTTTGTTTTTAATTGTGAAATTTACAAGCAATTTCTGAGTGAAAATAGTTTCTGCACCGCTTTTCACTCAGAAATCGCTAGTAAATTTCCAATAATCCTTTATAGCTTCAGAAAAATCACACCAAATTTCAGCGTATATAATATGATTAATTTACATGGAACATACAGTAAATATGAACTTTTTTAGGAATGATATTTAGAATTAAGTAATCAAATATGAAGTTTAAAAAAAAAAAAATCATAAAGACTGTAAATAAATGCATAACTTATAAAAAGGATATTGGTTTATTGTTTTAAAACTGGACTGACAAATAGATTGAGAAACGCAATTAAAAAGTTGCATTTAAAATTAATTATTTTATTGTTACATTTTATTCTTAAATGTAGATATTGAATAACTAAATAATATAATGTGTTTATTTATGTCAATTTAAAAACTCATTATGTTTAATTTTAAATGAATTCATTGATAATCTTTTTTTTTTCAATTATTTAATATTTTAGTATCATTCTTATTTTTCCATATTTAACAGCTGTTGCTTCATAAGAAAAGTCTTGCATTAATATGACAGACTTTATTTATTTTAACAGCTATTTACCCATACACTGAAAAAATTGATTCATTGAACTTACTAATTGTTTTTAAGGTAAGTGCTTGCAATCAATTTATTTTAGCTACATTTAAATAAACAAATGTAGCTGACTAACTCTCAAAATTTTTTTTTAAATGTAGCTAAAATAAATCGTTTGTAACCACTTACCTTAAAACAAATTTGTATCTTTTTTTTTTTTTTTTTTTCAGTGTATTTTGAATTAGGCATGTTTTAGAGTTGAAGGAAATGTCTGTAAACTTAAAGGAAAAGTTTTTTTTTTGACAGTAAATTATCATTTTTTTCTACAGAATCTTTTCAAGTTCGGCTCCATAAGCTATATGACATGGGGAAGTTTACTTGTGATGATTCCTCAGTCATGACACGAGCTCAACAGAATTCTATTCTACTCTATTCTCTTCTGTTGAGTATCAGTGAGTTAGTTTGGCGTCTCCGCAGGTGTTTGAGTTTCTGAGACCTGATCCTGTGCTACTCTCACATTAATAATTCACAGGCCAAACATTCAGGGCTCCTGGATCTCTGAGCGTCAGAAGCGAACAGCAGCAGAAAGTGAAGGATGTCCAAGAGAAGATGGGTGGAATTCAAGATCTGCCAAACCATCAGCTGTTCAGCTCCGGTCGGCCGCAGGACTAGACCTCCATCTCCTGCTGCTGCTGCAGGTATACAGACAATATTTCACACAAACTCACACTTCAGAAGAGCAGAACGCCTCGGAGAGGCTGACAGGGAACGCTCAGAAGGTTTTGGCAAGGTTCTCTCAAACGTTCTTCCATAACGTTAATAGAACGTTCATTCAAAGTTATCTGTATGTTCTCAAAATGTTAGCTAAAAACATTATACATCATTCATAGACTAAAATGTTTCAGAAAAAAAATGTTCCGTCTAAATGTTACTACTGTACTTGTTTCAGAATGTTTAGAGAACATTCAAAAGTAACGTTCCCATAATGTTTGTAAAGTGATAAATGTAACATTCATTTAACCAAAAAACATTTAAAAAATATAAAAAAGCTGGGCGTTTTGAAATTTTAGAGCACATTAAGAAATAACGTTTTCATTACTAAGAATGATGTAGCAAAACATTCTTAGAATATATTTTTGTTAGCTGGCTTGTCTTTATGAATGTTCTCAAAACGTTAGCTAAAAAGCATTATTTAGGCTATACATCATTCATGCCACTTTTTTTTCCCTGAAACATTTTAGTTTGTCTAAATGTTACTATTGGTTTCAGAATGTTACATTCCCATAATGTTTGTAAAGTGATAAAATGTAACAGTCATTTAAGCAAAAAAACATTTGAAAAATATAAAAAAGCTGGGCGTTTTGATATTTTAGAGCACATTCTGAAATAACGTTTTCATAACTAAGAATGATGTAGCAAAACATTCTTAGAATATATTTTTGTTAGCTGGCTTGTCTTTATGAATGTTCTCAAAACGTTAGCACAAAAACATTATTTATACTTCCTTCATGGAACTTTTTTTGGATTTTTTTGTTTTAGTTGGATGTTCATGTAACATTTTTTTTTTTAAATGTTATTTCAAAACGTTTAGAGAACATTTAAAAGTTACATGTTTGCAAAATGATTAAATTAGAATGTTCACTGAACGTTCACATGACAAAAAAAAAAACGTTTTTAAAAACATTTAAAGCCTGGACAACTTGATAATTCATAGAAATAACATTGTAATAAAAAAGTTATGAACAAACGTTCATAGTATCGTCTTCCTGTAACGTGTTAATGTTCTCAAAGCGTTACCACAAAAACTTTACTTATATATTTATATATATATTTTTACATACCTTTTATTTGAACGTTCGTCTAACATTCTATAAATGTTACTATTTTTCCAGAATGTTCAGAGAACATTCGAAACTAACGTTTCCATAACATTTGCCAAAGAATAACATGGAATGTTCCCTTAAAGTTCAAATAACCAAGAAAATGCTTTTAAAATATTTAAAAACCTGGAAGTTTTGAACGTTTAGAGACCATCCAGAAATAACGCTTTCATAACGTAAAAGGAACGTTAGCAAAACGTTCTGGAACATATTTTGTTGGCTCAATTACTTGACTGACGCTTTTTAAAAAATATAGGATACAGATAAAGAGGTGATTACTGTGTTTAAAAGACTAACAGACCTCTTACTGTGTCTTTAATTATATATTTAATAAGATAACTGGACCACGATTGACAATATAATCTGAGGGTCACAACAATACCGGGCGATATATGCAAAATTCAATTCAGTATAATCATCATAGATCATAGATCATAAATACAGGACAATGTACAAAAATGTGTCGATCATATAGCTAATAAACAATTATCAATCATTTATATTTGCATGCTGCTGCACATATAACTGATATTGTTTGCGCAGCAATATTTGCAGGCAAATTCCACGCGTTCCATTTAAAGACTTTTGGCCCCGTCCGCCTTCCATATAAAGCGGCCGCGTGTGGGCCGTGCGCCGTGACGTCACCGCGCCGCGAGTCTCGTGTGTTTACGTGGAGAAACATGGCGGCGACGGTGTCAGCTAAACCACTGAAGTAAAACACTGAAGAAATCCCACAGATTTACCGTCTGAGCACATGTCAGCGCCCCGCGTTTAGCGCCAGGCGTGCGGCGCTTTTCTGACGCGCGTCTCTCCGTGTTTAAGCCGCAGGAACCGCGGAGACGATGGAAGACGAGGAGCGACAGAAGAAACTACAGGCCGGCAAAGCCAAGGTGAGATTTACCTCATATTTACCTTAATTTTACCTCAATTCCGTCATCACCTCAGAAAACAACTGACATTTGTGATTGCGCTCACATTTGGCTTATATTTACCTCAATGTTACCCCTCATTTACCTCAGAAAATAACTGACATCTGTGATTTCACTCACATTTGCATCATATTTATCTCATATTTAACTCAATTTTACTTCACTGCTGTGATTTACCTCAAAGAACCACTTACATCTGTGGTTTAACACGCATTTGCTTCATGTTTACTTACATTTTACCCCACATTTACCTTAGAAAATAACCAACATCTGTGGTTTAACGCACATTTACCTCATATTTACCTCTTTTTTTACCTCACTGTTGTAATTTACCTCACTGAAATCTGTGATTTCACTCACATTTTATATCCTATTTACCTTTTTACCTGACATTTAGCTTAGAAAATAACTGAGATATGAGCCAAACATGAGTTAAATCACATATCTCGGTTATTTTCTGATGTAAATGTAAAATATGAGGCAAATGTGAGCTAAATCAAATTTTACCTCACATTTACCTCCGAAAATAAGTGACACCTGTGATTTAACACGCATTTGCCTTATGTGATTTCACTCACATTTTATATCCTATTTACCTTTTTACCTGACATTTAGCTTAGAAAATAACTGAGATATGAGCCAAACATGAGTTAAATCACATATCTCGGTTATTTTCTGATGTAAATGTAAAATATGAGGCAAATGTGGGCATAAATCAAATTTTATCTCACATTTACATTAGAAAATAAGTGACACCTGTGATTTAACACGCATTTGCCTTATATTTATCTCATATTTACCTCTATTTTACCTCACTGCTGTCATTTACATCAAAGAACCACTTACATCTGTGTTATAACTCACATTAGCCTAATGTTTGCTTAAATTTTACCCCACATTTACCTCACAAAATAATTTTAATATGATTTAACTCACATTAGCCTCATGCTTACCTCAGAAAATAACTGACATTTGTGATTTTATTCATATTTACCTCAATTTTACCTCACATTTACCTCAGAAAATAAGTGACACCTGTGATTTAACACACATTTGCCTTATATTTATCTCATATTTACCTCAATTTTACCTCACATTTACCTCACAAAATAATTTTAATATGATTTAACTCACATTAGCCTCATGTTTACCTCAGAAAATAACTGACATTTGTGATTTTATTCACATTTTACATCCTAATGACCTTTTTTACCTCACAGTTGCCTAGAAATGATTGACATCTGTGATTTAAGTCACATTTGCCTCATATTTACCTGTATTTTACCTCACAGCTGTTATTTACCTCAGAATATAGTTCACGTGTGTAATTAACCTCGGTTTTTGCAACATATTTACCTTAAATCTGTTGATTTCAATGCTCTCGTTTACCTCCGAATGACCTTTTTCTGAGGTTTACCCTAAATTTACCTTCCTTTCTTCTGACACTTACCTCTATTTCATCTCACTGCTGTCATTTACCTCAGTGTATAACTGACATCTGTAATTTATGACTGATATTTACATACAGTATTTACCTTAAATTGACTTCAGTGCTGTCATTTATCTGAGGATTACCTTAAATTGACCTTCCTTTCTTCTGACATTTACCTCTTTGTAAATCATAGAGAATTAATTCCCTCACATTTACTTTAGAGAAAAACTCTCTCTTTATGAGTTTGTGTTGTTTGTTTTGAGTGCTTATGCATTTCGTGCTCTTTCTGTGCCTCTCTTATATTTTAATATATGAATACACCTGATTTATGGACAGATAAGGCCGTGTCGCTGTGAATCGGACTGCTCTTGCAGGTTGTTTAGTGCTGTTGAATGTAAAGACGGTCTGAGAACATGTGGATGGGCTTGTGAGACTGGATTTTCTAGCCATTGCTACACCGGATCTCTCTCATGCCTCACATTTCTGCAGATGAACAGATCTCTCTGCAGACTTCAGGTCACTATAACCTGCTGGAGCATGTCGAGAGCACAGAGACTGACTCATGATGTTAATGAAACAATACGATAATTGTAGTTAAGGCTGAAGTGTGCTATTAAGCACAACATGCACTGCAGCAGCTGCTTTTTATCAGGCAGTTTGCATTATATCTGAGACTGGCCATGTTGGTTTTTTAGGTTTATTATTGGTTCAAGCAATAGTTTATGGCCTCACATTCTTGTTCCTTAACACATTGGCCTCTTCAGGGCGTGATGATAACACAACCGTGTTATCTTATAAATAGACCGGTTCCTTTCTGGCCGAGTCTAAAAATACCCAGAGTCTGTAGGAGCGGTGAGATTGTGACCCCTCTGTGCTGGAGTGCTCCCTATGAAGTGAACACATGTGAACGAGGTCCCGTCTGTCTAATTCCCGCTGACAGGTTTTACACGACGAGCAAACCGACGGCCTCACAGATGTCGTTTAGATCTACTTGTTTGTCTCACCGTTTAATAGAGATATTTGGGAAAGCCTGCTTTGGTAAATGACTGAATTAAATATTAATGAGCAACTGAATTCTGTGAATAATTTTAAAGAGTAGTTTACCAAAAAATTAAAATTGGCTGAAAATGTGCTCATCTGAGATCAGGATGAGTTTGCATTTCTACAAACCTGATGAAGAAACAAACTCATCTACATTTTGGACGGCGTGAGGGTGAGGAAATATTCAGCAAATTTGAATTTTCCTTTTAAAATACCTTTAAAAATATTCACAGCATTCTGTTGCTCATTAATATTTAATTTAGTGCCACAATATTGTAAAAAATTAATCCCCTGTGGGCCTTTTTTGTCCAAGATAATCACTCATTTCTGGAACCGGGTTTACATCTGAAATTATTGGTGCTAAAACTATTGAATCAAACTAAATGTCATTGTAACATCCAACTTTAATTTCTCACACCTTCTCAGGTGAAAGTTGATGCCTGAGCTAGTCGATTAGTCCAAAAAAAATTCACAATAGCTTTGTAAATGTCAAGAGCCACTGAATAAAGACGTTTGTGATGGAACGAGATGATTCAGAATGATTCATAATTTATTTTGTAAACATTCAGAGTGAATGCGAACAGAAGCAGAAAAACTTGTTTCTTAAAAGTGTGCTGCTTTGAAGCAGAAATAAATCACTGCAGACTGATTGCGTGTTTTGTCCAGTAAAATATTAAAGCCTTTCTGTTTGTGATGGCTCTATTTTGGTGAGTTTTCTGTGATTGCCCAGTCATGTAAGCAATCTCTGTGTTTACTTCAGTTATCAATAGAAAACTCCTTAGTTTGACATTAATTCAGTTGATAGGTTTGCCATTACAAGTCAAAACTATTGTTTTGTCAGTAATGAAGAAAGGACAACCGAAGCATCATTTGCATTCCTGTCCTAAAGCATTAAAGCATTGTGCTTGCAACAGCAAGTTTCTGGGATCGATTCCCAGGGAATGCATGAACTGATCAAATGCATGTATTAAATGCAATGCAAGTGGCTTTGGATGAAAGCATCTGCAATGTAAAATGTAGTATGTGAGTTCATCAGGCTGAGTATTTGAGTGTTGCACAGCACTGTGACGTTACGTTTGCACAAGACCGATAAAGGGATTTTTGCATGTGCAGACTGGAGGCTTTGAAAAGATCTTGATTTCTAAACCGTTTCAGCACGGATGACCCATGAACCCTGAGCTCGTGTGTTTGGCGCATCATGTGCTGGCTCTGATCTGCTGTTTGTTTTGCCGCACCGAACAGTTGGTATTCAGAGCAGCTGTCGGCACACGCTGTTTTCATGCCAGTGTCATTAGTGAGCGCTAGGGATGCACCGAAATAAATTCTTGGCCGAAACTGAACAAAATGAAAGAATGGGCCGGTTTATCAAGGTTTTTTCCCCATGTATTTTGCCAATTTTTTTTCACCATTGCATAAATTAAATAGCCAAAATGTGCTTTTTACTGTTTTGTCTTGCTTTACAAAGAAAAAATCCAATTACAAAACAACAATTTAAAAATATTTAACACTGAACATTTTTTAACATTCTAGCACAGTGGTCGCCAACCCGTCGATCGCGATAAGCTCGACGAGAAAAGTTTCGATGGCAATGGCATTTTCTTCTCCGTATAAAGCGCGACTCTGCTTTGTTTACAGCGGTAACCAAGGAAACGCTATTGCGGTCGGTTCATAAGCAGTGTTGCCAAGTCCGCGGTTTTCCTGCAGAATTGGGCTACTTTAACACTGTTGCCGCGGGTTGTTGTTCATGTACGCGGGTTGAAGCAACCCCGATAACGTGATATTTAGCCCCTGGAATGCGAATTTTACTTGAAGATCCCCGGAAAAAACAGTTTTGTGAATTTAGTATGGTTAAAGTTTCGATGGCAATGGCATTTTCTTCTCCGTATAAAGCGCGGCTCTGCTTTGTTTACAGCGGTAACCAAGGAAACGCTATTGCGGTCGGTTCATAAGCAGTGTTGCCAAGTCCGCGGTTTTCCTGCAGAATTGGGCTACTTTAACACTGTTGCCGCGGGTTGTTGTTCATGTACGCGGGTTGAAGCAACCCCGATAACGTGATATTTAGCCCCTGGAATGCGAATTTTACTTGAAGATCCCCGCCGAAAAATGTGTATTTTACCCCCAAAATGCGATTTTTACAGGGGAACCCCCTCGAAATGTAGTGGTTGCCTCTAATTTCAAATGGCTAGATATTTTTGTTTAAAGCCAGTTTGTTTGTTATAAAGCAAATAGCCAATAAATAAATTTGCTTAAATATCAGAATCAGCCAATTTGCTAGTTAAAAAAGAAAGAAAGAAAGAAAAGAAAATCTGAATTCTGAATCAGCTATGATCGGTGCATCACTAATTAAAATACTAAGTAAAAGGCCTCAAATTTGAAGCACAATCAGGGATGTCTTTTTCTATCAATTCTTTAATAGGTAGATCTTGTCTTTCATAAAGTCAGGGATCTTGGGCCTAAAAAGGTTGGTGACCACTGATCTAGCAGACAC